TTGAAAAGCAACGAATAAAACAAAACAGAAATAAATGATTATCATACCTAACATGGAATTTAAGCGATTCCCCAATGCTGATGAGGCATTTTGTTACATGAGAAACATGAGAGAGATCAGCGCACCGAACACGAAATACTCTAGGGTGAATGTCTTGATCGGTTGTGAAAGGGGGAAGGGGATTCAAAGGGGGAATGAAAACTTAAGTTATACTGCAACTTCATTATAGTTTCATCTACAAATGTGATATTCAAGATATCTCAAGCTTTGAATTCGAATAGACCAATAGCTTTTTATATACATATAACACTTGTATAACAGTTGCATATAACTTATAACACATGTCATCTTCGCCTATTTAATATTTACAATAATTTTCTATACATGCAATATAAGGATTGAAAACTTCTCAAATCGCCCTCGTTCTCTTTTTCATAACTCTTACAAATACATTTTTTAATAACTTTTGCATTTATTGTGCAATTGCTACAAAGTCAGCAATGCTTACGCTTAGCTGCAAGGCTGAACATCATAAAATATGTATATATAAATATACATATAAGTATTAAATACATACATATTTACACTAACATCAAAAATAGTTTAAAATCAAATAAAAAATTTCATTCAATTTTAACGCATTTCAATTGGTTTTATATATAAAGAAGAAGAAGAAAAATAAACGCAACTCATTTAGAAAATGTGCTGAAGACAAAGCGTGGCTCTACGCTTGGCTGACTCGATACCGAAGCAGAGGAAGCCAAAGATAGAAGATACGAGGTAGAAGAGGAAGAGGAAGAGGAGCATAAATATACTAATGTAACTGTGAAGAATAACACGGCCAGAGCAGATTTCACTTTTCGGCAATCATAACTGACCTTAATCAAAGTGAATTATGTTGGCAATGCTAGAGATACGCTTATGCATCTGTGGAAAGTATCTAAATATCCAGATACAGATGATCTGTGAAATGTTCAAAAATAAATATGGAATTTATAGAAATATATCTATGAAATTTATCATAGAAATATAGATGTATGTATGTGTGAAATGTATCTATGCCTATGCGGATAGAGATATACATAAATGTAGTTATGGAATGTATCTAGATACAATAAATACTTCAGCAACATAATTTAATTTAATTAAAATACATAAATTTAACTCTGAAATGCTAGATACATTGAAGATCATCTATATATATCTGTGAAATATATCTGTATAAATACACGTACAACAATAGATACAGTTATGTATCTGTTAAATGTATCTATAACTATGCAGAAGTTAAGAAAGATAAATAAATGTTTATGTGAAATGTTTTTGTATATATGTTACATAAATATATCTGAGGAATGTATCTATACTTATGTGAGATTAGATTACTCAGATGTATCTTCTGAATGTATCTTTAGCTATGCATATAGAACATATCTATGTATACAAATATAGATGCATATGCATTCATAAATGTAACTGCGAGATACATCTGTCACAAGTATCTACAACCATGCAGCAGTCAGTCCATACGTATGTTTGTATCTGTTGGATGTATCTTTTGGCTGTGCAGCAACTAGAGAATGCGTAGCTGGTTAAGTTCATTCTATTTCTTTTATTTACGATTATTGTTGAGCAAACACGTTTGCTGCAAAGGCAGACAAAAACTTCTCATGCCGCAAGTGAAGCTGAGGCTGCAGCCGACTCGCAATCGCAGTCAGTGTCTCAGTATCTGTATCTTGAAGATGCGACCTGAAAATTTCATTCATATGCAATAAACTGAGAGAATCCGGGACCGGCTGGGGCGGGGGCACCGCGCACTGTCAGCTACACAGCGCGTTTCCTGTCTGGGCAACATCATGAGATATCATGTGCTCCATACACAATGCAGCAGCAGCAGCAGCAGCGGCAGCAGCTGTTGCAACAACAACAACAACAACTACCTGCCGCAAAGTGGCCCGCAGTTGAGGTAACTTATACGCCGCCTGCAGATAATTAGCTTAGCGCTCACATAGCTGCCCCGCAGTACCTGCCTCACAGTGCCCCCTGTGCCCCGCCCTCTCCGCAGACCCAGCTCCATCTCCATCTCCATCTCCATCTCCATCTGAATCTCGGTTCCAGTTTCGCTCTGTGTCTCAGGGTCCGCAATCGCAGTGTGTGGGTCTCAGCTCTTGTTGTCATCATCATTAAATGCCGAGACAGTCTGTATCTGTGGCTGTAGCTGTAGCCGTAGATGTATCTTTTTATACCCTGAACCCATTGAAAATGGGAAATCAGGGTATAATGGTTTTGTTAAAAGTATGTAACAGGCAGAAGGAGGCGTGGCAGACCCCACAAAGTATATATATTCTTGATCAGGGCGACGAGCTGAGTCGATTTGGCCCTGTCCGTCTGTCTGTCCGTCCGTCCGTCCGTCCGTCCGTCCGTCCGTCCGTCCGTCCGTCCGTATGTATGAACGCGTCGATTTCAGAAGATATAAGAGCTAGAGACTTGAAATTTTTTTTCCTAGGTCCGTGTATATCACGCGCATATCAAGTTTTTCTTTTTATATCGATAACTACTCCCGATAATTTATTATCGATCAAAAACCTTATCGAAAGCTAGTTATTTAATTATACCTCCTACACCTTTGGAGCTAGAGCTTCCAAATTTTATATGTAGACTTATATGCATTTTATATAATTTCGATTTTTGTTGTAATTTACCCCCCACCCCTATATCCACCCCCTCACCCTCACCTTTGTAAAAGGCGTATTTCAAGTACTAGAGACTTGTGCTTTGGAATGTGCATACATTTGAACATTATGATTATGTTCTGAAAGTTTCATTAAGATTGCACGTCTAGAAATTAAATTATTCAACAAATAAATTCTTATAATGTTGCCCACACTGCAGCGCAGCACAAGCGCAGTCGCTGCTTACTGCGCAGTTAGCAGAGCGCGTTCTAATACGTGGATGTGTATGTACGTGTGCCGAAAAGAAGTGCAGAGTGATTAGAATATCAGATTAGAGGGTTCAGGGTATCTCCTAGTCGAGCAGTCTCGACTAGAGTCTTCTTACTTGTTCTTTTTGCTGTTTTTATTTTATTTTTTGTATCTTTTATTTTCTTTGCTTTTTTGTACGTTTTTTTTTTAGAGGGTATTAAAATGTGATCATGCCATGTGTTGCACGCTAAGCAGATGTTGTTGACTTGAAGTTTATATATATATTCAGAATCAAGATCTTAAGCTGGTTAAGCATAGAGATATTGCTCTACTTTTTTATTTTATTTGTATTCTTTTTTAACATGTCATGCTAAAAATATATTTTTTTTTATTTTAACAGAGGATAACTATTGAGATTTAATACAGATATATTTTATTTATTTTATTATACTAATTGGCTGGTTAACCAGACTAATTTTAATATTTCACGTTATTTATTTTATTATATATATTTTTGTAAAGTTTACTTATGTATGCACATTTTATATTCTGAAGTAAAATCTAAAACTGTTTAGTATAGATATTATATTGTTCTAATATAATATTTTATTTATTATTATTCTTAATTAATTTATGTAATTATTATTATTGTTACTATTTATGTTTTTTTTGTTAGACTTGATTAAATATATACATATACATAATTATTGTTTATTTTATTACAGAACTTTACATCCAATTATTGACTATATAGAAATTTAAGCTCAATGTTATGAAGTTGCATATTGTTATCGCATATAAATATATATGCATACATATATGTATGTATATAAACACTTCGTAAGTCGAGATTCTCTTAGAGTATCCGCACTTCGTTTAGCCTATGCATCTCTGTCTCTCCGCCTCTCTCACCATCTCTCTCTATCCTCTTCTTCTTCTCTTGCTGTTGCTGCAAATCTAACAGCTTTTTTATTTATTTGTTGCCTTTGTTCTGCAGAAGTAGCCAAGGCGATCATTATTCCAGATAGAATTGTGCACTCACACTCACACATACATGCATATAAATATACACATGTTAGTATGCACATATACATCAATATCGGCTGTAAGCTGATCTTGAGCATTGCGTGCGCCCTGCTACCCTGTAATCCCGCCCATATTTCAGCAAATTGTGAAATTCTGCACACGTTGCACACAATGAATGCATCGATTCATTCATTGCTCGAATCTGAGCGACTGAGTCGACGGATGTGACTCATTCAGCTGAAATACAAATTACGTCTCAAAGACAAACTCGCAAGACCCAAAGAGAGGCAACTTCAAGTGCCCCGCCCTGTGCGCCCCCTTCCAGTCAAAGAACATTTCTCATGTTTATTTACTTTATTTGGTTCTGTTGTGCTTCACGGCTGAGTAGGTCGCGTCGGGTCAAAGCATTCATTCGTATGTATGTATGTATGTATACTCCGGTAGATCATTCAGTTCGTTCGTTAAAGAAGCCAACATCTGAAGCGGTGAAATAACAAACTTAATTGCATTCAACAGAGTTGAGGATCAACTAATGAACACATTCATATTTGGCATTTGATTGCTTATAGCAGCTTTTGGGCATTAAAATAATTAACTTGACTTCTATTTTGCACATTATTACTTTTTGCATTATCATAAATAATTTGTTTTCTAAATAGAAATCCGCATTATAAACGCAAGAATTATCTTATATCAGCTTAAACTCACTCACTCAACATGTTTTCAGTCGCATGTTGCCAAGCACGCACATTGCGAATCGGTTAAAGCAACATTGGTTGAGCGATTAGCGGCAAAAACGAGAGAGTATGAAAACGGTCGCGCGACTGCCGGACGCAGCACTCCTCAGCGTATGACCAGCCCCCTTCGTTCAAAAACAACGACAAAGCACGAGAGCCAAGCAAGGCAAAGTCAAGCGTACACACGAAGCGGTGGGCCGAACACGACTGGCACACAACGATGCCGAGGAAACGAGTGTTGTTTTTGTTGTTACTTGTGTTCTTTGTGTCGCTCGATGGCTTTGGCTTTGGGCTTTCGCTTTTGCCAGTGCAGTGCATCAGTTCGGAGCTCAGTTCAAGTCGATGATTGCTGCCGAACGGTTGGGTTTTCAGTCCGTCACATGTAGCGCGCGTTGCCGTCGCTTAGAGCCGTTAGAGCAACTTCGTTCGCTTCGAAATCGTTACAAGTGTGAACCCAAATGAAATTTGAATTTAATGCTATAATGAAGTTGGCAATGATTATTAGCAAGTGCAATGTGAGTGGGCAGCAAAGTGTAACAGTTGCCTATGATAATCAATGAGCAGCTGAATAAAACTCATCACGCGCACCTCGCACACGTACACACACACACACTCACCCACACACACGCAATCTTCAATCAGCTTCGTGTACTGCTCGTGACTCGTGCCGCGACCGTGTGCGTGTGTGTGTGGTCCTTTTGCTGTGTGGCTATGTGTTGTTGTGTGTGTTTGTGTTGAACGCAGGGCTCGAGTCCAGCTCGTTCCACAATTCCTGTCGTTCTTCTAACGCTGCTCTGATTGCAGGCCACGAGGCCGAAACGTAACGAAAACGAAAACGAAAACGCGATGAAAATTAAAGCTTTGCGTGGCAAAAATCGCTAACCAAAAAAGCAACAAAACAAAACAAAAACAACACTACGGTAAAAAAGAGGAAGTTCATACACACATATAACAACCCCAACAAGTGAACACAAAGAAAATTGTGGCCGGACAGTGTTGCGTAAAAGTAAAAATTTCGCTTTTATTTTTTTAGTCGCGAGTTCTGGCAAAATAACAAAAATAAAAAAACAAAAAAAAAAAGAAATAGAAGCAACAACAAAAGAAAATACAAAAAATATATATAAAACGATTATCATCTGGTCCTAGCGAGCGGCGTCGCTTCTATAAATAACGTTGCGCCAGGCGCCGCTAATTACGCCAAAACATGAAAATATTTACAACAAAAGCAAAAGCAAAAGAAACAACAACAACGGGAAAAACTCGGCAATTAATCAATTTTCCGCTTGACCAATATATAAGAAATTCATTCGAGCTGAATCCGCACGGAAGTTTGCACTATTATCATAATTAAAAAACAAAAAAAAAGAGCAACATAAGGAGCACGAGAAACTGAAGGAGGACGAGGAAGAGGAGGATCAGGAGGTTAGCATATCAAAGGAAAGCCAGCGTGGCATGGCCTAAAGGATAGCATCATATCACCTACACCTACACTCACACCCACACACACACTCATTCAGCATATCTTAGAGAACCATGGAGCTGCACTGGAGTCAGCTGTTGGTGCTGCAGCTCATGCTGCTCCAACTGCCCCGATTTTCGCTGGCGAATCGCTATAGTTCCGGCAAGCTCTATGCAAATGGAGGCAGCTCCAGTTCCAGTTCCGGCTCCAGTTCCGGTTCCAGCTCCAGCTACAAATCGTCACAGCAACAGAACGAAGTATACTCCATAGCGGACAGTCAGCCCATGACAGACGATGGCTATGTGCCACCCTCGTTGGCTCCATATCCATATCCGGGCAGCGAGCTGGACAATCCGGTGCAGCACCTGAGCAGCTGTCAGACGGTGTGCGCCTGCAAGTGGAAGGGCGGCAAGCAGACGGTCGAGTGCATCGACAGGCAGCTCATCCAAATACCCGATCACATTGATCCCAGCACCCAGGTGCTGGACATGTCCGGCAACAAGCTGCAGACACTATCCAACGAGCAGTTCGTGCGCTCCAATCTGCTCAACCTGCAGAAGCTTTATCTGCGCCACTGCAAGATCGGCGAGATCGAGCGCGAGACCTTCAAGGGACTGACCAATCTGGTGGAGCTCGACTTGTCGCACAATCTCCTGGTGACGGTGCCCAGCTTGGCCCTGAGCCATATCTCCTCGCTGCGCGACCTGACGCTCGCCTCCAATCACATACACAAGATCGAGGCGCAGGCCTTCAGCAGCACGCCCTCGCTCCACAAGCTGGATCTCTCGCACTGCGACATCCAGACGATATCGGCGCAGGCCTTCAGTGGGCTGCAGGGGCTTACGCTGCTGCGCCTGAACGGGAACAAGCTGAGCGAGCTGCTGCCCAAGACCATCGAGACGCTGAGCCGGCTGCACGGCATCGAGTTGCACGACAATCCCTGGCTGTGCGACTGCCGGCTGCGGGACGCCAAGCTGTGGCTGATGCAGCGCAATATTCCGTATCCGGTGGCGCCGGTGTGCGCGGGCGGACCCGAGCGGATCATCGACCGCAGCTTTGCGGAGCTGCATGTGGACGACTTTGCCTGCCGCCCCGAAATGCTGCCCATCTCCCACTACGTGGAGACGGCCATGGGCGAGAATGCCTCCATCACGTGCCGCGCACGCGCCGTGCCCGCAGCCAGCATCCACTGGTATTGGAATGGCCGGCAGCTGGCTAACAATAGCGCCTTCAGCGCCTATCAGCGTGTCCACATGTTCGAGCAGCTGGAGGGCGGCTTCGAGAAGCGCTCGCGTCTGGTGCTGACCAATGCCCAGGAAACCGATTCCAGCGAGTTCTACTGCGTGGCCGAGAATCGCGCCGGGAGCGCCGAGGCCAACTTTACGCTTCATGTCAGCATGCGAGCCGCGGGCATGGCCTCCCTGGGCAGTGGGCAAATTGTGGGCCTGAGCGCTGCCCTCGTGGCTCTGATTGTGTTCGCGCTGGCGGCCATTATGTGCCTGCTGCTGCGGGTGAAGCGGCAGCCGTACGTGGACAGCAAGACGCCCAACCACATGGAGGTCATCACATCGGTGAACCATCAGAATTCCATCACCAACAAGACGCAGCCGGCAACGGGCAATGGTAGCATCGGCGGCGTTGTCATCGCTAATGGAGCTGTGGCTAATTGCATCGATGGAGGATTAGCGGGCGTGGCCTCGGGCACGCTGGAGCGCAAGGGCAACAGCAGCAGCGCGGCTCCAACTGGCGGCGGATTGGGCGGAGCTAGCTGTAGGCGTGCCAGTGGATCGCCGCACGAGCAACGCAATGCGAATCCTGTCCAGAAGCCGCCGCGACTCACCGACCTGCCCTACTCGACGCAGGGCTACGACAATGCGGGCAGCGTGCTGTCCACCGCCTCCTGCTTCATCTCGCCCAGTGGCTCGACCGGGCATGGCAACAATCCGGATCTAATCAATGATACGAAACGCTTTGGCAGCGACGAGTTCTGCGACCTCAAGCTGCCCGCCATGGAGCTGACGAGCGGAGGAGGCGGCGGCGGCGGCAGTGGGGAATACAGTCGGGCCAATGGCTGTGACTCACTGTATCCGTCCGGGCTGTGGGAGCATGCGGCAGCAGCAGCAGCTGGGGCCAGCTCGGCGGATGATCTGTTCATGAAACGCTACACGGACAAGACACCCATCATCGACTCCAGCCAACTGTACGATCTGCACGAGCGGAGCGCGGCCAGCGACTACTTCAGCAAGACGTTTCCGCGCGCCCACTGCAATGCGACGCTGCAGCAGAGTGGCGGATGCAGTGCAGCGGCAGGAACCGGTGCCTCGACCACCTCGACGGCCACAACGAACCTGTCGAGCGGCTCCTCCGGCTATCCAAACGACTATGGGCTGCCTCTGGTGCCGGGCGCTGAGCATCAGCACAATCATCAGCTGCAGATGCATCCACTGCAGCAGCTGCAGTTGCAGCAGCAGCTCCAGCACAGCAGCGGCAGTCCACACTTCAGTAGTCGCACCCTGCCACGCCTACACGATGGAGGCGGCAGCAGCAATGGCTCGGCTAGGTCATCGCCCACGCCCGCCCAGCCCATGGGTGCCCCGGCTCCAGCTAGCTCCAGTTCCTGCTCAATACTGCCCAATGGACAGCCCGTGAATGCCAAGACGATACGGGTCTGGCAGAAGGGGGGCGTGCCCGTGCTGCCGCCCGTCACAGCGCTGAAGCGGGCGCTGATCAGCAGCAGCCGCAACTCACCGGACGAGGGCTACCAAGAGGGTTGCGGCACCGATGTCTAAGCGCCTCGACTCCACAGTCACACAGACACAGGAAACCCCGCAGAACTGACTAAACTTAAACTGAGTGCATACACTAAACACTAACTATAGCTCACCCTCTCATACACACACACACACACACTCTCACATATTTTATATACATTCATGTGGCTCATCGACTAGCGAGAGAATCGGGCGAATTTTCGTGGCGTGAACTTGTGCAAGCGAACTGTTTGTGATAGTGTCTAATTAAAAGATATGGCTAATGGAGATAATAAACAAAGAAAATTGCGAAAGCAAAAGCGAACAAAAAAAAAACCGAAACAAAATAAGAAACAGCAAAAAAAATTCAATGAAAAATAATGCAGTATACTTCTAGTTATAAAGCGCAAAGCAAATGGACAACAAGAAAACATAAACTGAAAACTAAAGTAATTAATATATGTATATCATATATACCTATAGAACTAAATATAGATATAGATATGTATGAACACCTTCGACTAATTAGCGAACCCTAAGAAACTGTAAATACCAACATCTCAACTCTCGCAAGTCCCCGCATTATGAAAAATAAGATACTACAACTAAAACAAACTGCAATAAAAGTTAAGTAAAATGTCAATGTCAATGTCAAAGTAAAAGTAAAAGTCAAAGTAAAGGTAAAAGTCTATGTCGATCTAAATGTCAAGCAAACTAAATGAGAGAGATTCCACACACACACACACATACGGACAGAGTACTTAGAAATCATCTATGCCCTTGTAAATGTAATTAAAATTTATAACTGTAAAACTAACTGTAACTGTAATTCTAACTGTAACTGTAACTCTCTCTTCCTCTCTCTCTATCCCTATCTCTCTGAGTTTGTGTACGCGTGTGTGAGAGTTTCAAATGTTGTTTCCAAAAAGCCAACCAAAAATGAAGAGAAATTCTCGTCCCTCACCCCCATTCTTAAAAAGAATCGTAAGTTGTAGGCAGTTACGTAATGAACGTATATCAAACTCTTATTCGGCTCAACAGAAATCCTTAACTGTCAGTTAAAGTTGATAAAGAGAAAGAGAACGAACAGCAGCAGCAAGACCCACTTTATGACTTTATAAGAGTAAAAAACAAAACAAACAAAAAAGCAAATGAAACAAAATGAAACAAAATTAAAAAAAAAAAAAAAGAAAGCAAATAGCAAAATTTAACATGAAATTAATTCTTAATATCTGTGTGACTTCTGTATATACAGGAAAATTATTAAAAGTATTGTAAGCATTCGCATTATTTGTGGGCGTGGCCAGAGCGTTCGACATATAAACAACGGGCAACAATAAAAAAAGAGAGTAAATTCAAATATAATGATGATCAGCACGCATAGACTATGTAGGTAATGCGAAACAAGAATTACATACCAAGGTGGCGTCAACTCAATTCTCAAACTAACAATCACATTTAACAGTTTATTTGACAGTTATAATGACAGACGGGTTTGATAGTTTCATATAATCAGCTCTTCACGTTTTATTTGACAGCTTGATTAAAGCCCATTCAAAATGGATAAGACAGTTCACACAATTCTAGATGATAATACCTAAAACTAACATTTCTATAACATCACATTTGACAGCTAGGAAATAGACAGGTGAATTTAATACAATAATACAATAGTATAAATTGTATATCAGATTTACCGGTTGGATTTTATAGATTATCTAGCCACCTCGTAAATTAGACAGCAGGCATGCTAGATTATTAAAATGGACACCTCGATTAACATGTGAAATTGTCAAGAATTGCAAGATACACGAAAGATAAATTTAAAAACATTTAACATATAAATTGCATTGATTTCTGTGTCAATTGGTCTGACAGGAAGACTTTAGAGACTTGTAAGACAAAAATTTAGTTTCTACAGTTCAATTAAACTGATAATTCGACATTCTTAACTTGCGATCAACTGAATCCTTCCTAGTGTGATTTGTCATGTAATATAGTTAGTGCTTACTTTTAAAACCATTTCCATCACACCTATATACATATAGCTTGACTGTCTACAACGTATCTGACTTGACAGATTGTAAATTTAACATACACACTTGACAGCTAGCTATTATCAGGCGTATCTCAACATTTAATTTGTTGATGGTGAACAAGCCACCAGATTTATTTCTCGAGTGATACTCAAATGAAACTATATACGCATTTAATTCAAGCCCAATGCTGAGATGCTCAGTTGAAATTTTAACTTTTAATTGACATTTTGACAGCAATCGAATTTGAGCAAGGCTGAAGAGAGATTTGCGCCAGAATGTTGACCCACTTTTTACTTTTTGCATATTAATAGAAATAGTGTGAATGTGAGCTGAGTTGAGTTAACGCTATCCGCACATTATGTATATTACCCACTCCTGTAACCCCATGAAAAAATGGTAAAAAATAAAAAGATTAACTGTGAATCCGACTGCGCTTTGGCATTAAACTTAGGTAAAATTCGTATTTGCAGAAGTTAGTTAAAATATGTAAAAAGTTAAGGAATATCAAATGAAACTCAACATATTCATCAATTCATACGTAAATAATACATATGTAAATGCCCACACACACAGACAGACACAACGTGCTCCAAGTACACACACACACACACCTACACACTCGAAAAAATATATCTACAGATATTATTTGCCTGTAGGTCGTAAGCCCTAAAAGCATTCAAGCAGCAAAATAAAAACAAAATAGAGAAAAACAGAAAAATAATATTAAAAAAAAAAACATTCAATTCAAAAGCAAAAAATAAATAGAAGAAGAAGAAGCAGAAGAAAAACAGAAATAATATCTTTAAGGTAAACCAAAGACTTTTTTCTTTGCATCTAGTAAGCGAGGGGCATAAACTAAACGTTGAACTTGAATGAGCAAAACGACAAACATGCAGAATAACCTTAGCATTTAAGTAATACCTATGTATTGTATATTATAAATATATATGTATACCTATATATATAACTACATATACATATATCTATAAATATAAATATAATTATTAACATAAATATAAATATAAATATAGTATATAGATGTATCTACTTTACATGTACGACAGGGCGCAGAGTTCGCTTAACAAAAGGCAAGCATTGAATGCTACAGAATGAAGAACAAAAGCAAAGGAAATATATATGTATAAACAATATATATATCTACATATATATATATATATATAAATGAAAGCACACGGCGTTGTCATTACTTTTACAGCTCGGCAAGGTAGGTACCCATGGGCAGCAAGGGGCGTGACCCAATTAACTCACAGCAACAACAAAATAAAAGAAAATAAAAATAAAATAAATGTTGTAGCAGCAGCAGCAGAAAAGACTCGGCTCCACATACAGTCAGAGACAGTCGAATTCGCATGATGTTGCCCCCAAGGCAGCAGCAGCTACTGCCTCTGCTGGCGCAGCTGCTGCTGCTGCTACTGCTGCTGCTGCTGTTGCGCTTTTGTTGTTGGCCATTGCAGCGTTTGGCATATTAGGGCCAATCGTCTAATCGCCAATTATGCATTTAACCCAACCGCCCATACCCTCAAATTTACACACACACACAAAGAGAGAGATTACCTAGTAGCTGTATAAATCGATATGCACAATCGAGAGAGAAAAGCTAAATCTCTGACTCAACGAAGCTTAAATACTCTTACGATGCTAGATTTTAAAGTCTTTCTCAGCATAGATTTTGGGCAAAAAAAAAAAAAAAATAATAATAATAATTAAAAGTAAGTTTTCTTTTGTTGCTCAGCATATCTTTTTCATGCTGAATTTTATTGTTTTCTTTTAGTGTTTAAATTAGTATTGAGCATTAAATGTCAGCCTGCTTGGATAAACTTTTATCCGCTTGATTGATTTGTTGATCTTAAGTAATATATATTTATTTATTTTTTTATTATTATTTTTTTTTTTTTTAAACAAAAATTGCTTTTAATATTAAAGCCAAACTTATATTGTTATTGTTTTTTATTATACATATTTGAATATATTATCAGCAATTTTATTTTAATTAATTTCCTTTAAATATAAAAACGCATATATAATCTTTTAATCATTTAAATTCATTTTAATTCAATTCAAATTCATTTTATATTGAAATCTGTTATATATATATATATCTGTTATATATGATCTTTAGATCTATACATATTGATAAAACATATATATATATATTCATATTTCTATTAATTTTATTATAAAAATTTAGTGCATGTCCCTATATGCTATATTCTAAAATATTCTATTATCATTTTTATATCTTAGATATATTTCTTGAAATTGAAAAATATGTTATTTTAACTTAAATATAGTATAATATATATGTACTTTTCTTTTAATTCCACTTTTTACATTCAAAATGTACCCATATATCTTTTATTATTATCGTCTACTATTGGGCCTAGATGAGTTTCATATTACTAGTAAAAGCGCATTTACATCTAATTAATTAATCTCGACGGCCGCCTTAAATATCTTTTAATTATTTAAATAATTATCGTCCCCATAGCATCTATCATCATTATTTAGATTTGAAGCCTCTTCTGGCAAATCCATTATTTTGCTTATATTTTGCTTATATTTGCTTATATATATATATCTATTTTGCTCGCATTTTTGCTCACAACTTTAATATAAATAAATTTAGTGTGTTAAGCAAAATGTATTATCCGCAGTGCTTGAGCCGTACGCATTTATGGAAGAAAGTCTGACAACGTTATATACACAACTATTAGTGTTAATTTGCTTCTTCATTGGGTTCGCCTGGTTCACGTCAACGTTTCGATACCCTCTCGAAAAGCTAGCCAGGCCGAGCCCCTCGTCTGCCCTCGACTTGCTCCATTTTTCGCCTTAGTTTAGCCCACAAATTTGCAGCTACACATGTTTGACGTGCACGAGTGTGTGTGTGTGTGTGTGTGTGTGTGTATGTGTGTGAGTGTGCTGGGAAAGTTGTGGGAAGCGCGTAATAAATACGGCGGCAGGCCCCAGTACGAGATTATATCATGGCATGCATAGGTCTAACTGTCTGGCTCGTTGCCGCAGATAGAACTCCTGCCCCTGCTCCTGCCCACACTCTGGCCGCTCTCTGCTCCGGCTCACTCCGCGGTCCACCATATCCCTCGCCTTATTGACGACGCGCAAAGTTTGCCAACTAAACAAGTTTTGTGCCTCAAATGAAATTTAGGTTGCAACTGAAGCCCAACAAAAGCCAAACAAAACAAAGCAGCAGCTATAACTACAACAACAACAACGACAGCAACAGAAACGGCGCCAAGCGCAGAAAAAATTAGAACTTTTGCGCTGAAGGAAAGTGAATTTTATTTGTTCAACTTTATTACGTATACGTGCCGTTGTTCCGCCTGTGTAAATAACCAAAATGCAAAACGTAGCACCCACCCCCCCGAGCCCCGTCCATCGGCTCATATACAGCGCCTCTCACCCCACGCCCCACGCCTCCTATCGCCTGTGATCTTTTCACATCTAATGAAGACAGCGCCGGCAGGTGCTGCTCGCACTTTTATGTTCATGCATTGCGGCCTGTTTAACGACTTGGGCAATGCCTAGCATGAGGAATTTATAAAAGGAAATCCAGTTGAGACAAGAATAAGAAGAGATGAGAACGCACACACACATATGCGCACATGCACGCAAAACTCTCATATGCCTAAGCTAACAGACCGTAAATATTGTTGAAAATAACAGTTTATTTTTGGGTCTCGCTGCTCCATTCACATCATTCAATAGCGCAGGACAACAAAGGACATCCCGGCTCGCTGATGGATGTAAACAGCAGCCGAAACAGTCACAAAGCAGGCAAACAGCTGGCTCCAGGTGCAAGCAGGGGCTGGGCTAAACAGTTAACGCCTTTCCCTTTTATTTCCTTTTGGCCGTACGTCAAAGCGGCCGCAAGTTAAATAAGAAGCAAACGAGCGAACAATTTGCCAATGACTGAAGCTGACTGTCAAATACACTATATGGAATTATCATAGATATGGATATGGGCCTCTCTATCCATCTCTCTTTCCCTCTCTCTTGGTTTAATGTTCTTCGTTGCTTAATATAGAAAGGATTTTTATGCCTTTTCATTATTAACATGACAAACATTTCTACGTCATAAATTTGAATACATTTGTAGTCTGATTTTTTTTTTATGGCCATTTGAGTTTTAATCTGTGCTAAACCTTGTTTATTTATGAATATATTATTGCGAAAGGGAAATCGAGAAAGAGAAAGAGAGAGAGAGTGAGTGAGATAGAGAGAGAAAAGGTTAGAGAAAAAGGTTAAGTATACGTATTTTTAAGGTCTACTCGCTTGAGGCACTTAGCTAACTAATATGCCCACAAAATTCAATTCCTTTGGCATTATTGTTCATGTCTTCCCATACATTACGGGCATGCACATACACTTGCATAACAGCCGGCACACACGCACACTCATAAACAGAGGCTCGACAAAGAGTTGCCTCACAAAAACTCACATGGGAGCGTGCGTGTGTGTGTGTGTGTGTTGTCCCTTTAGCGTCTTCAGCATTTAATGGCCTCATTAATTTTCTATGCTTGGCCTTAAATTATTTTACTAGACAGAGAGTAGCTGCCTGCTGCTCAGCAATTCCATTAACTTGACTGCCACTCAGGCAGACGGCCCCTTCCCCGCCCCCCATCAGTGGGTAGCTATCGCGCACGGCAATAGCAATGCTAAATGTCTCTTTGCTCGTTCGCATTAATTTACATAAACTTAATTGTTTTATTTAATCAATAAAAATAATTAAATGCCATGTGCGTAAGTAATTAAAACAAATCGCTTTTACGGCACAGCAAATTGAAATTGCATAAACATAAACCTCGGTGGCAGCTAAACGAGTACCGTTGCATGCAACAAGCATATGGCAACGGCAACGGCAACGGGAATGGCAAACGCCCATCGTGGCCCCAGCTCTATGTACCTTTGTAATTATGGCACATCAAACATTAATCAGCAGGCAAATGCGTATGCAAAATACAAAACACATATGCATAAAATCAGCGGCCAAATGATAATTTCGTTCCCAGTCACGCCGAATGCCAACAGCAACAACAGCAATACGCGCAACACGGGCAACGGCAACTGCATCAATAATAAACAATATTTGAGGCAGCCCACAAAATCTATAGAGACCAAATTACTTTGTAGGCTTAGTCGGACGGCGAGTCGGTGGCTAAAAATTTTCAATTTTTCAGCATAATTTATGGCGCACAAAGCGTAAAAACCAAAATCACTACGAGAAATTATGCAAAAATATTTTTCGACGGCGGTCAGCCAAAATCTAGCTGGGTATCTGTGTCTGTATTCGTCCCAATATAAACAAAGACACACCCAGGCATATATACATATATATGCAATAGGTAAAGCAATTTAAAACCCCTTCCACACACACACACACGTATAGGCAGTTGCAGATACAAATTAAACTAATGCCACAGATAGATACATTTATATTGATCAGTAATTTAATGTAAATTATATTGTCTATTCCGTGGCTCTGCCCTTCTACGCTCGCATTTGTTTTTGTATATGTTTTCGTATCTGTGTGTGCGTGTGCGTGTGCACATTATGCAAATCAGTATCTGAAAAACTGTATCTGTTGCTATTTATACGCATTTGTTTTATTGGCATTTCATATGAAAAGCAACAGCAACGGCAGCAGCAACAAAAACAAAGATTTCAAAAAAACGCCCTCAAAAGTATGCTACAAAAATAAATGAATCACTCACATCAACATTTCCATCAATGTAATAAGTAGGTACTTTTGGCATTTATCTATTTCGTATCTGCTAACTGTACAATAGCAAAAGAAACAACAAAAAAAATATATATATATATATATATATATAGATTTCAAATTCCTTTTAACACTTTTTTAATCCACCCGTATATATTTAACAGCTCGAATGGAATTTAAAACAAATTATCATAAAAAATTTTAAGGAAAAGGCTCTTTAATTTCAGTAAAAAGTGAAATTTCATATTTTTAAAATGTTTTCTTTTTTATGAAAATATATTTTAAAATTATTTTCACAACAAAAAATATTTCATATTTCGATAACATTTTGAAGTGTAATACATTAAAAAAAAAAAAAATATCGTCATTT